CTTTATTAAAAAGGAGGATAACTCTACAAACATACAAGATATTATGTCATTTGAGAATTTTTGGGTAATTCTCAAATCATTCATTTACATAAAAAGATGGAAGGCAAAAACATGGATCAGCTGATCAATCATGAAGTACTGTCTGAAAAATATGAACCAAAGTCTTATAAAGAAACTTGCACTGCACATCTGAAGTCAAATTGATTGCATTCAACAATGGGGATTTGTAGAATTATGAAAATAAAAGGCAATGTACAGCTTTTCATCACTTCTCAAATGACTATTTAGTTCATAGTTTTTTTTTTTAAGGTAAAAACTACATTACACAAACTTGTGCAGATTTTTCTGGACACTCATTATATATTCAATTAAATGTTAAAACTTTGTACCTAAGTTTCTTTTGTTCTTAATTTCTTCAGTTTTTATTATTATGAGTGAAATTCTCAGATAAAATTTCTAAATTTCTATTAAATGTCTGAACATATCAAACCAAAATTTTGCAATTATGTATCATCTAATTTCATTTTTTATGTGCATTGAAAAAATTATTTTCTGTAAGGTTATGTAGTGCTTATATAATAATTGAATGACTGATGTTAGACAGGTTTACTTAAATCTGTGTGAATAGAATTTTACTACATTACTTGCCAACTATACATTATAGATGAAGCTGGCTTGATGGCTAGAAAAGATTGATTTTGGAATGAAAAGGCTGAGAAATAAAAACACAATGTGTAGAAAGATTGTTAGCAAAACTATTCAATCTTCATTTTCTTTATCACAAGAATATACTTATTTTACTAGTGGACAACCCAAAGGATAAAGCAAGGCCTGTAGGCCTTATATTAGGACCAAACATTTATTCAAAAACTACACAAACAGATGGCTTGTCAGTGAAACTAATCAAATTTGTAAAAAGTTCATACAAAATGATAGAGAAATTTCAGAACTTTGGAACCTGATATCAGTGTTGGACACAATTGAATGTAAACATCTGACAAGTCAATTATTTAGGACAACTGAAAGTCTGTTGTTTTTCTTAGAATCAATAGAATCAGTCAATTCTGGCCAGAGGCGTAACTACCATGGAGCAGTTGGAGCAAACTGCTCCAGATGCACAAATCATGGGGTGCTATGTTAGAAAGGGCGAAATAAAATTTTGTAAAAAATTTGTAAAAAAAATGTTTGGATATAACAATTAATCAATTAACTATTAGATTTGAATCCGTTAGACAATTATGTACACTTTTCAAGTGCTTATAACCTGCTTACCTTGTTGCGTCATTAAAAGAAAGTTAGTAAAACTAATATGAAAAGCCCTAAAATCTTAACACTGAAGTAGATGGTACTTTAAGTAATTTATAATTTCTAGATTTCTTTATTTAAAATAAATAAAATCATATAACAATGTATATTATAATATAATAAGCATTTATAAATTTAAAGTTTTTGATAATATTTTTTTCTATACCACTTCAATTTTTTTTGTAGAAGTATGCCAGAATCAGTGGCATAGCTACATATTCGGCACCCTGGAGCAATCTTGTTTCTTGCAATAAGTAGAATCTTGTTTCTGGAAAGAGGTCTTGTGAAATTTATTTTGAACATGCTCCTTTTAAAATATTACATGCACAATATTTTCACTTGTATTAATATAATATTTTAAGGCTACTTTTGAGTCAGCATACATCAATGCATGCAATTTAATAGTACAGTCTAACGAGTTAAATGATTGGTGGTGACATACTGCTTTGTATACTGTAGTCAGCTCAGCAGCCACAATTAAAATTTCTTCTTCTGAATGTTTCTTTATCATAAAACTAGAAATATCCTTAGAAGTTGAAGCAGTCCTGATATTTCATTTATGAAGAATATTGTAGAAATATATTGTTGGATGTCAGATTTTCCACAATGGTTAATGGTAAAATGAGAATTACAAATAGAACACAGTGCTTCAAATTCAGTTCAACCTTTCTTTATAAATGACCAATTTTTGGTATATTCATCTTTAAAATGACACTTCCTCTTTGGCATCTTTTATTACAGATATAAAAATGGTTTTACCTAAAAAAACTTGATGTGCAGAATCAAGCAATTATTTATTTTATTATATGCATGAAACAAATTAGCATTCATCGAGCTCTGACAGTTGAGACTGACTGAGAGATCCAAAGTGCAGCTGCACGCAGAGTTTAAGGAAAAAACAGGACAAATAGTAATACAGGACTGAGTAATGAAATACAGTGACAGTCCTGTATATACGGGATGTATGACATACATCCCGTATATATAGGATATAAAGGATGTATATCCCATAATGAAATACAGTGACAGTCCTGTATATACGGGATGTATGACATACATCCCGTATATATAGGATATAAAGGATGTATATCCCATAATGAAATACAGTGACAGTCCTGTATATACGGGATGTATCCCCCTACATATATAGCACTTGTAAGATATGGCCAAAACTTGGAGAGATTCTCTACTCATTGATATGAGCTGTTTTGCTGTGTCTGCCTTGGTTATTATGCTATTGAGTGCTGAAACCTAAGAAGAATAACTTTGCATATATGGGAATATTCACAATAGCATAAGTCAGGAAAGTTTTACTTTCTTCCTGTAATCATAAAAATATAATTTTAGAACATTGTCTAGAAAAAAAGAAAGAGTGATGAACTGCAGGCATGTGAAAACCAATTTAAAACAAAAATCATAATTTGTTGTCCTTGGAATGTGTAAGTAGTATTGCACTGCACTCAGCTTATTCTACTGTGGACAAATATAGGAGGTTAAATTACAAGAATTACACTAACTTCAACAATCATTGGACAGTTCTTGTATGATAGGATTAAATTGATAATATAATTGTTGATATAACTATAAATGGTTACATTGATAATTAAATATGTCTGGAATTGAAGAATCACTTGGGGTCTGGGTAGCGTAACTGGCAATGCATCTGCATGGTAAACAGGAGTTATGGATTCAAACCCTGCTAAAGGCCAATTCTTTTCTTTCAGAATATTCTAAATTAATTAGTNAAGCCTAATAAAATTTTTTTTTAAATAATAATTGTCGCTATTATATCGTTAAAAATTATTTTTAAATTATTTTATTGCTCACAAAACAAACAACCACTCATAATTAGAAAATTAAGTCTCGTTTAAATACTGGCCTCCCTTTCATGGTCGAGCCAGTGTTGTCAGCTAAAGCACGCAAAAATTTAACAAAAATATTATTAAAGTAGCCAAGACATAGCCAAATATTGTAGTACCACATCACTAGCGGATATTTGAAATTTGCCGACTAGAACGGTCGGTTAACCGATGTGACAGTTAATTGGGAGTCGGATAATCGATGCTCTACTGTACACTTTATTTTTTTATCTGTACTTTTCATCATATATTTTTCTTTTCTCAACAATAAATCACTTACAATCTTTTATTTGTGACATATTACTGCTCAAACTGCTCACTCAGGCTAACTACATTGAGAAACATCATTTCCAGTTTCCCGATGTAACTTGCTTTATTAGTCTGATTATAATTGTTAAATTTAATACAAGATGGCACCTAAAGCTTACCTCTAGTTCCAAATTACTTAATAGTTAACCATTAATAATAGCAATTATTTATCCCAATTAATTACAGCAATTGTTTTATTAATTATATGAATGTTTCTAATACCAATGACAATATTTTTCAACACCAAAAACCTTATTTTAATACCAGCAGCAGTTTAATTTTAATATGGACAAATGTTTTCAATCTAACTATAGGTATACTTCATTAAAATTAAATTCCTGCAGGTGTTAAAATAAGGTTTTTGGTGTGTTAAGTGTGATAATCTGAATATAAAATTAATTTATTTTCCAAATTATTAATTTGATGTATATTTCATCTTTAAATTGTATACTTTTTGATTTTTGAGGGAAAATTTGGGGAGAACAAGCAAATACAGTTTCCTTTCCAACTATTTATTTCCTTAGAAAGTTAATGTCACATCCAATGACTAAATTCCAACCCAACCCAACCCGACTCATTATCAGATGACCAAAAACTTAACTCCTCGTTGGAAAGAAAATTCAGTATTTAAGTGTTTTATGTGCCAACTTTGGTGCGAAGTAGTCATTTTTCATCAAGATTTTATTTTGTGCTTGGTCTCCTTTGGTTTTCCCAACGTCTGCCTAATGTATATCTCTATGAATCAAAGAACAAATTGTATACTGAGGTATTATTTCTAAATTCTTGTAAACTCTCTCTCTCTCTCTCTGAATTTTAAAACCTTTAGAGTAGAATTAATTAGAATAGATTTTTATTTTTGTAATTGATTTTAGTCATTATTAAATCTTTATTTTGTTTTTTTTATTTAAAAATGGTCTCGTTTTCAAATTATTTTATACGCCAAATGCTTTATCATAACACCCAAAGTCCCTCTGCCTCGGATTTATTTTAATGAAATTTTAATCTTGCAAGGCAAGACACAATTTACCTTTCTTGTCTGGTGTCAGATCTGATAATAATGAGGATTTTGTGATCCTCTTTACAAAAAGAAAAACTAACCATCTATTGACAAGGTGGGTGAGTCTTACTGACTTATTGCCGATTTACATTCGATAAATAGTCCCTATTGAACATGGCTTCTCACATAAGTAATCCAGCATTTAGAAGCATTTGGTGAAAAAATTTTATTTTGAGAAATTCACTCATTAATGGAATGTTAATGTAATTGTATTAATTATATTTGGAATTACATTGAAGATTTTTTTTCTTTAAGGAAAACAACTTTTTATTTTTATAGTTTTTATTTGCATGATCTTTATGAAAAAATAATAGAAGTGATAAAATACATAGCAAATAATCTAGGTTTTTCAATTTTCATATCTTAGCTTATAAAAATTAAACATTTCTCCTAATTTCTTTAGTATTTAAATTAACTAATATTATAATTTCTTTGAATTCTTTAAGCCATAATAAAAATATATATTTCAGATCATTACAAATATATAACAATGGATTTTGATGATTATGTGGTTAATGAATCAAGTGAAGAAGAAAGTGATAATTCAGAAAGGTAAAATTCTTATTTATTTTTGTATTTTTTAATTTATTAAATTATGTACTTTTTAAAATACTGTAGTATCAAGAATAAAATGTTTTATTAATGCAGTAATACATGCTTGTTGTAATCATGGATATTGTTATTAGTCACCTAATGATAGAATTAGCATGTAACAAAGCATATGCTAAAATACATTTATGGAACTTCACTTATTGCAATCAGAGTTTTGATTATAGTTATCATTGTTTTCAAATTAATAAATTATTTTAAGCTGTCTTTTCATGGAATTGAATATAATTGCATTAAAGAATTTGAAGAAAGAAAAATATGTAAAGAGGAACTAATTATGTACTATAGAGTAGAGCATCAATTATCCGAATCAATTGGGGACTGGGTTGTTCAGAAAATCAATTTTTCGGATAACCGATTATGTACAAAAAAATACATTATTAATATAGTATATTAGTATATCCCAATAATAGTATATTAATATATTCCATGTTAAAAAATTTTTTCTCCGTTGTGTGTTGCTTCACATTGAATTTTTGTCGATGTTAAGCCTAACGAAAATTTTTATAATAATAATCGTGGCTATTGTATCGTTAAAAATTATTTCTTTATTTTGTACAAACAAAACAAATTTTTTTAAAAGTATAAAAGCAAAAAATTATACTTTAGAAGTTAATCTAGTATCAAAAACGTTTGATTCAGCATGACACAGTCCAACTGGGACGCTTTCAGTTAACCGACATTTTGGTTGATCGGCATTCGGATAATTGACGCTCTACTGTATATATTCAATACAGAATGTGGAAAGACTATATGACTTACAAGTGGTAAAAGTAGATGATTTTTATTTATTTACATTAATAAATTCTGTAATCTGTTACAAAAATATAAATTTATTAAATTTGTCTCTTAATAAATTGTCTGATTTTTATAAAATATAAATAAACTGAGTGTACACTAGAGCTGGTTTTAACATTAGACAAACCTAGGTGATTGTATAGGGGTGCCAGCCTTAATCAAAAACAAAGAAAAGATGGATCTTTTATTAGTGTTAATTAATAAAAAATAAAAAGTTTTTAAATATTCATAATGATATTATTTTTATAAATATTCACATGTGTGCTTGTGTGAGTATGATAATATACATATATTTAAACGTATATATGTGGGGTTAGACCAGTAAAATTCCTAAACTGTTAAGAAAATAAACAAGGGGGTGCAGAGAAGATGAGGGAGAATGGGAGAGGGAAACAAGTAAGGGGAGACGGCAGTTGGTGATGATGTAAAGAGGACTAAAGACATTAAGGACACCAGAACATTATTGTTCTATCCATAATTTGAAGACAGTTACGAATGCTGGAAGATTATTGTCATTTCTAGTTCTATCACTATTCCTATTATCATCTATATATCACTATTCCTACATATAGACAATATATAGGAGTGCCTAAATTTTCTTTGTCTAGGGCAGTGTTAGGCAACTAGTGTGCCATCACATGGTGAAAGGTGTGATGTGAACTTTTACATATTCTGTTAATTTCAAGTTTTATTTATATATTTTTATCACAGTTGTTGTGTTTCTTATATTTGTATTTCATTCTCTGCTGCAGCACTGATGAAATAAGATAATGATTGTTTATTCTTTATAATAAGCCATATATTATTATATATTCTAAGAAATTGTATGTAAAATAAATTTGCTCACAGGTGTTGATGTCTGTTTAATAACAATAATAATAGGTTAGTGGCATTTCATAATTCTATTAATAATATCATATCATACGTTTTTGAAGGGAATAATATTTTGGTGGTTTGTGTTGAGTCATGGGTGTGCTGCAAGTAGAAAAAGGTTGCAGAACACTGGTCTAGGGCATCAGATACTCTTGCATTGGCCCTGTTTGTTACAAACTCAAAGTTATTAAAATGGAAATTGAAAAATGATAACATTTAAATTACAATTATTTCTAAATTTTTGCACTTTTTTTCATTTTTAGACTAATTTGTTAGCATCTGTTTTCAAACTATGTGAGAGATAATTGTGAAGGATTAGGAAAAAGAGAAAATGTTTCCAAAAAAATGTTATCAATATTAGATCATTAGAAGTTCTCTTAAATTTATAATTTTACCTAACTTATCTATTATTTCTAAAGACAAAAAATATTTTAAAATTTAAATACATTAATTGATATTATACCAGAGAAGAGAATTTTGTGATGCTTTTTTCTATCGTACATTTTGTAATAATTCTTTGTTTAAACAATTAACATTGGTTTTAAAATAAAAATGTAAAAGTTTAGCATGTAATTTTATTTTTTTTTAAATTCTGGCAAAGACACTTTTTTGATTTTCTCAGCACTCAAACAGGAGCTTTAGGAGACAAATAGGAAATCTTATAATTTTCAGTTGTACTTAGGATATCAAATTTAAGTAATAATGAAAACTGAAAAAAGTAATTTTGTTGAATTAAAAATCTCCATTAAAAATATATTTCAGTTTAAAAAAATACTGTAACACTAGCTTAAAGTTAAAAAAAATTGTTTGGAGCCATCTGTTACACTGTATGAGATGATGGTAAAAAAATAAGTTTAATATTATAATTATTATAAAGGTGCAAAAGGCTTAATTTTGAGGGAGAAATGAGCTTTTAAAAATATTGTAAATGCCAATAACAAATAAAATTCTCATTATATCTGACCCTGCTAGAGATGTGACATAAGACCACCCTCTATCTCCCCCGTTGAGTTTCATACTCCAAAATATAATAGCATAAATTCACCTGATCCAAATTTTGTTTTGTAATCATTACTTATTCTGAGATATTAAACAAACATGCACACATTAAACAAAACGTGTGTGCGCGTGACCACACGCACATGCACGTTTTATTTAATGTGTGCACGTGTGAACATACATGCATGCATACCCCTGTGATCATAAAATATCAGGAATGGTTCAATAAAATGCAAGATTTGAATTTATTCATCAAAATTTATTTTGTCCCTTCTCACTGCAATGCACTTATGACAATGTTTGTTTATTTTCAATCCTTGAAACATGCTTTAAAGTTGTTTTTGTAAAACTCCTTCAAGACTTGCAGGGAATTTTGTTTTATGGCATCAGTCGACTCAAAACAGTGACCATAAAGTGGAAATTTTAGTCAAGGAAACAGGAAAAAGTCAAACAATGCCGTAACAGGTAAATATGGAGCTTGAAGAACTATATTTGTAGAATTTTTGGCTAAAAATTTCACAAATGACAAGAACATTGTGAGCAGGCACATTATTGTGGTGCAAAATCCATGAGTTTTCTCACCACAAATCAGGTTGTTTTCTGTTAATTGCTTTATGCAAATGATACAAAACATTCAAATAATAATCTTTGTTAATAGTTTGACCAGTCAGAAGGAATTTGTGATAAACAACTGTATGACAATGTAAGAAAACATACTACACAATGTTGATTTTTGACTGACTTTAATGTGGTCTTTTCAGTCTTGCTTATCCTTTTGAGTGCCATTGTTGAGTTGTTTCATTGTAAAAAGTGTAGATCCATGTTTCATCACCTGTAATGATGCATTTTAAGAACAGTTTGTCTCAAGAAAGCATTTCCTTGGCCACTTGAACATGTTACTTTTTGAAAAAAATTCAACATTTTCAAGATGACTCGAGAAGGACACGCTGAAAGTCCAAATGATCTTTTAAAATCGCTTGATAAGATCTAAATCATTTAATACTGAAACATGTTCAGTAATATCCCTAATTGTTAAATGATGACCATTGAGCACCAAATCTCTGACTTGAGTGACATGTTCTTCATTGCTTGAAGTGGATGGTTTACCAGGGCATGGTTCATCTTCAATGTATTCTCTGCCTTCCTTGAACATATTATACCCTCAAAAATTCTTGTTTTTGATAGACTATCATCCATCACCAAAGGGTTTTTTTGTAGCAGCAATTCTGTTGTGAAAACACAATTTAATGCACATTCTTTGCTCAGTTACACTCAGTAGCGTAGCGTAGTGGGGGCGGCAGGGGCGGCCCACCCCGGGCGGCACTTTTTAGGGGGCAGCAAAATTACATTTTAGGGGATGGCAAAATTTCACAATAAATAATAATAATATCTTGTAAGAATTAAAACCATTTTATTTCATATTTTCATGCACCTATGATTTGGACCGATTGAAATGAGCATGGAATACCATCCAGACAGTCCAGGAATCGACTCGCCGTCAGGGGATATCATGCTCAATCTGTTGATCTTTTTTTTTTTTTTTTTCTTATATGATTTATTAGTATATATATACACCTTCAATATCCAATAGAGCTAGGTCACTTGCGTTACTCCTATCCAAGTCTCCCTAGTCGCTAACTGTAACTGATTTAGAACCAGCATGCACTGAAAATTATTCTTCGCATTGCAAAATGACATATGCATGTGTCAGGAACTTCTGTTCGAAGAAACCTCACCTGCCGTCCGGGTCAGCGATTTTAAAAAAGTGGCAACACTAGCACGGAATTTTTCATTACTTATTCTGTGACGAAACTGAATTTTAGTCTTTTAAATTAAGATACCTAAATAAGGGGGCGAAATTTTCCTCCTCCCCGGGCGGCTGACACCCACGCTACGCCACTG